CCGTCCAAGCTAGCAAGCGTGGCAAACTCCAGAGAATCCACCTTTGACCAGAGGCACAACGGAGGAGAGCCGAGCAAGCGCGTCGTGGCCGAGGTGACCGAGGCGGCAGTGCCAAATGTCGGTGCTGGTGGCGGCGAGGGCTGTGTCGGCAGTGGATGGAGGCTGGGCATGGTGGAGGGGGCAGAGTGGACTGGAGCTATTGAATTTGGCGATCACGGTCCTGGTGCGCATGTCCTTTACAGAGAAACCAAAAGGGTCAAACTCTACAGAACACCAATTATCAATAACAAAGCGACGAACAAAGATTAGGTTTTTGATAATAAGTGTAGAGCAAAGAATGTCACGGAGTGTGAAGGAGCGCTTGGGCGATGTAGGTTAGTCTGCCCAATGGAAGACACTGGGATAGTGGAGCCATTGCCGACGACTATGTGGGAGGGAGAGTTGGGGTTTGGAGGGTGTGTGAAGGAGAGGGTACCGAAGTCAGATGTCATGTGAGCCATAGCACCGGTGTCCATGTACCATTCGTTCGTGGCGGGCTTTGGGAGCATCATGGTGTTGAAGGAGCCTGCGAGAGATGCTTGGTCCCATTGAGAAGGGGTGCGGGCGAACCAGCCCATTGGTTGCTGGAAGCCCATGGGGGTGGGCAGCTGAGATACCAGCTGTTGGGTGTTGACGGTCGTTACAGACAAATTTCGACCGTCAATATAAGTAAAAGAATGGAGAACTAGCAATGCTTGTAATGCATATTTATTTCAGAATAATATAGTTCCACTTGTACTTGGAGAATAATATGTTGCAGAAATTTAGTAAATAAAATTAAGTGAAAGTGAAGACACCTCACTCCTAAGCAAGCTTATGGATAAGAGGGCCCACAAGATAGCTGTAATCGTCATGAAAACCGCCTCTGCATCCATAACCGTCTAAAGGACCCACATGTCCGTGCCTCTGCCAAAAGTGAGGTCGGTTGGAGCCAACCATTGTTCGGCCAAACCCTGGTCAAGCCGGCTCGGGTCCCCCTTACACGTGGACGTCCAGGATGAGCTACTTATGACGGTTACGAGGGTAAAATGGATATTGCGCATCAGAGTAACCGTCATACCGACCCTATAAAAGGAGGAGCTCACTTCGCTTCTCAATACACTCAAGCAAGCTCAAGATTCCTCTTCATACTTTATATTAGTAGTTTAGTGCTAAGTGGAAGTAGTATATATATAGTATTTCTCGGAGTCCTCGGAGCTTTCGGAAGAGTTTCGGTATGGCTCTAGTAGCTTTTATATTCTCTTCTGTTATACTTTCCGAATTAATGAAATACTCTTCTTTATATATTCTCAGTACTTTATTTAGTATGAGTACTGCTTTTACTTTATACTTGTGTCGGTATAATTATATGGTTGGCCTACCAGAGAGGTGTAATGGTGTGGGTTTAGTGTCCGATTTATCGGTTGCTCTATATCATCTGCAGAGGTGTAGAGTTGTATTTATTAATGTAAGCAAGGTGTTTAGATTAGTAAGTATAATTATCTGGGCATATATGCTGCGTGACAGCAGAGGTGGACCGCTGATGGTGACAGCTCAGTACGAGTATTCCTCCATGTTAGTACATATTCCTAAGACAAATTCCTGGGAATGGTACTCCTCCGTATTTAGCCCCGTTAGGGGATATTCATACATTAATTATGTCTCCATTAGCTTATTGATTTCATATATTTAATCCCATTTTTTTTCAAACGATAGGTGATTTACATGAGGGAAAACACCACCCACGATGATTTCATAAGGGCTGTTCAAGAACAACTGATGGGATTCAACAACGAGCAGATTCTTGATCCCGTAGGAGAATTCTATTACGATGGAAAGCCTATTCATCAAGCCAGTCCTTTTTCTTCCGATCTCACGAAGTTGTAGTATACGACAGAAACAATAATTACAAAGCCCGAAGGAATTGTAATACATGTATATATTTATATATGCATACATGGATTTACTTTTGTGTGTACTTATTTTGGAAATATAATATATGTGTGTATATTTACTTAGGTGCGAACTCATATTTTTAATATATGCACATGGCCTATATTTACTTAAGTGCATATATGTGTGTATTATATGTATTTATACATATGTATGCATATTGCATATATATGTGTGAAAACATGTAGTACACATATATGCACTTAAGTAAATATAGGCCATATTTACTTAATTAAGTGCATATATATATAGATGTGTACTCTATGTATCTGTACATATATATGCATTGCATATACATATGTATAAATACATATAGTGTACACATATATGCATGTGTGTAATATATACATTTATATATTATGCATATATATGTATTTAAACATATATATGCATATATATGTATAGGCAGCACACAGCACAACCAAAATAAAAAAATAAAAAATATCTGTAGTCCCGGTTGGTAGGGACTAAAGATGGCTAAGCCGGCCACATGGTTCGGCTATCTTAAGTCTCGGGTATTTGAACCGGGACTAAGGACTGCTATCTTTAGTCCCGGATTCTTCCTCCCGGTTCATTATTCGGGAGTAAAGGGGGTTGCGAACCAGGAGAGAAGAGGGTTACTCCGGTAGTAGATGTACTTTCCCCGTTTCCCGTTGCAACAAGGCATGAATAGTTTGAGGCTGAACTGGGATTGCCGCGTTCCAACAGCCAGAAATCTTCATCAAACATTTGCCACCCTGGATCAAGTGGATCACATCACTCACCACTGGATCAAGTGGATCACTGTTATTGTCATCGATGCCCTGCGTGCACGGTTAGAGCAGCTTTCATAAGATGGATTGAGCTGGTGATCGAAATGAACTACACGTCGGACTGGATGATGATATGGATAAGAGAAGGGAGGAAAGAGGGTGCAAGCGGATGGTAGATTAGTCGCTAGGGCACACAAACTCCAAGGAACCTTGTGAATTATTTTTGTCAGTGTTGCAGCCGAGTGAGAGAGTGAAGGGCAAAGAAGAAAGAGATTGATGTGATTAAAAAATTAATAAAGATTTTTCTTGTTAAACGTGTCAACAGCATAATATTGTACTCTCTAGCTATAAGACATGGTACATATTTATAACCTATAACGGGCGATATTATTAAGGTGTTGTTTGGAACTTTGGATGGGACGTCCCTGTCACATCGAATATTTGCATATTAATTAAAAGTATCTTTTAATTAGGAGCATTAAAGATAAACTATTGACAAGACCCATTTCATAACCCTGGACTAATTCCCGAATTAATCCATGATTAGTCTATCTGATGCTACAGTAAACATGTGCTAATTATGGATTAATTAGGCTTAAAAAATTATCGCGCGAATTAGCTCTCATTTATGTAGTTAGTTTTCTATAAGTAGTATATGTTTAGTATTCCAAATTAATATCCAAACATCCAATATGACAGGACTAAAGTTTAGTCCCTCAATCCCTTACGTACCCATGAATTTTCGTCCAATTCCTTCTGTGCCCCTGAATTTTGCCTTGTCTCCTACGTACCCTTGAGTTTTTATTTTCATCCCTTATATGCCCATTCCATGAGTTGACTGTCAGTTGACCGTTAGATTTTTTCCAAAAATATCTATATTACCCTTGTGTCTTACTTATTGCTTAGTACAGAGTAGTTGATTAAAAACACATGGTCCTTAATGTAAAAGTTGATTCGTTTATAAAAACAAACATTCCATAATTACTTAATCTAAAACAATTTGGTTTTATTGATGAAATTTATCAAAAATTTATTCAAATCAGATTTGATGAAATTTTTTGAAAATTTTCGCTGAAATTTAAACCCAAATAAGAAACCACTTTGGTTTTTCGAATTTCGAATAAAACATTTTTTGGATTTCATTATCTTTAAAAAAATATTTGAAAAATTAATTTTTTTTTCAAAATCCAATGTTAATAATCATGTCCCTTTTTGATTTTTAGATTAAGTTGTTTTTATAACGAGACTTATGTTTTTAAATTTGAAAGCATAAAGTAGAAGGGAAGGGCAATATAGTCATTTTAGGACAACATAGGTATAAAAGAGATCAAAATAAAAACTCATGGGCATACAGAGGATGAGGCAAAATTCAGGGGCACGTTTGGGATTAAGTGAAAACTCATGGGTACATAAGGAATTTTCTCATTTTTAATTCCTGTCACATCAGATGTTTTGATACTAATTAGAAGTATTAAAGGTGGACTATAGACAAAACCCATTCTATAACCCACTAATTCACGAGACGAATCTATTGAGCCTAATTAATCCATGATTAGCCTATGTGATGCTATAGTAAACACGTGTTAATTATGGATAATTAGGCTTAAAAAATTTATCACGCGAATTAGCGTAACTAGTTTTGTAAGTAGTCTATGTTTAATATTCCAAATTAATATCCAAACATCTGATGTGAAAGGTACTAAACTACCTAGATACAAACACCACCTAAACCTGCTCTTTCTCACTCTAATCGCTAGTCTTCGCGGTCCATATCTCATAACACTTACATCTCTGTCGCGAATCGCCTAAACTAAGATCAATCCAGTCATTACAATGTCACCATGTGAACACGTATGCTTCTCTTCATTCATTCTTTGACTTCTTCTCCTAATTTAATACTCCTCCATTCTAAAATATAAGAAGTTTTAGATTTAGACATGGTTATTAAGTAAGTATATATAGAAGTGAATGGTGAAGGGTTATAATTAGATGGGTAGTGGAGGTAGGTAAGAAAAACGAACGGATGAGAGTTAAGATTGGTTGGTAAGAGAATGTTGGTAGAGAAGTTGTTACATTTTGGGACAAATCCTTAAATCTAAAAATTATTATATTTTGGGACGGGAAGTAGTATATGCCGCTTTCTTTGCGTTCACAGGGACAAGACACAGGTACGAGGTAACTATGCTTTGCACGACGACTTTCCATGCCACGGCCGTCAACAAGATCAGACCGTACGTACTACAGTCAGCAATAAACGGGCCTATAAATACACGACGTCTCTCCGCTGGCTTACACACACAACAACAACTTACATCGCAAGCTAGCTAGATCGATGGCGATGACCAATTGCCTCCTCGCGCTCGCCATCGCGGGCGTCGTGCTCGTCTCCCTCCCTGGACTCTCGCGCGGCGACGGCGAGTGCAACCCGAGCGGCGCGATCCGGTCGAGCACGACCCACCGGTGCCAGGACTGCTGCAAGGCCGGCCAATCCTACCCGACGTACACTTGCTCGCCGCCGACCACCGGGAGCAGCACCGACGCGGTGATGACGCTGAACGACTTCGACGCCGGCGGCGACGGCGGCGGCCCGTCGGAGTGCGACGAGATGTACCACAGCAACACGGAGCTGGTGGTGGCGCTGTCCACGGGGTGGTACGCCGGCGGCAGCCGCTGCGGCAAGAGCGTCCGGATCAACGCCAACGGCAGGTCCGTGCTCGCCAAGGTGGTCGACGAGTGCGACTCCCAGCGCGGCTGCGACGAGGAGCACGCCTACCAGCCGCCGTGCCGCCCCAACGTCGTCGACGCGTCGCAGGCCGTGTGGGACGCGCTCGGCATCACCGGCGAGGACGTCGGCGAGTACGATATCACTTGGTCGGACGCATGACATCCAAACTTTTTCATCATGTCATCAATTACGAATTAAGCTATGAGATCGTGTAGCGTACTCGGGTGGATTAAAGTCTTAATAACGAGCACGGTCACATCCGAAATGAATAAATATTAAAACACTGTAATAAAGGACATGGGCATTGCTGCAAAAGAGCCCTACCGCCGAGGACTTCTGAGAATGACCGTGCACTAGGTTGTCCACACATTTCAGCCTTCAGATTACTGGATTTCTTTTTATTTTACGTTTGAGGTCTTTTTTTAAAAAAATATTTTACAAATAAACTCTTGAGAAAACTTACTCTTCGAATGAAACATTTCCATGATACGCGACATGGTGCGGTGCGGCGCTGGATGTTTAACCGGGTTAGCACGAGTAGAACGCCTGGCGCCAATGAACAGTACCTGACAGAGAACTTTAGGTTTAGGGGGTTTTGGTTGACTTTAAAAATTGAGAAAGAGGAATAATTTAATTTGTACATTCAACTAGGTATTTTTGGATAATGTCAGGTATTTCAAGATGTGAACTTTTCCCGAAATCAATAGTGGCCAATATTATGATGAATAGGTAGTATAAATAGATTTTATAATTTCCTAATTGTAGGGTTTTGATATTTATTTGTTCTCTAACATTTTTTATTTATGACAATTAATTTTACTTGATAAAAAGATATTTGCAACAAGGAAAGCCATCAACATTGCTGCATGATGCAATTTATTCAAAAGTTTTTTAAAAGTACACAATTTTAGGCCTCCATTTATTTATAGAAATTTCATGGCGTTACAAGATGGCGAGGATGAATTACCTCCTTGCGGATGCAATCGTAGGCCTCGTGCTTGACTCCCTCCCTAGCCTCTCGCACTGCGACGACAACGATGATGCCGTCGACCCTTGCCGCGGGCGCGAGCTGGCACCTGGCAGCCAACAAGTGCACACCGACCGCCACGGTGGAGCTAGCTGTCAAGCCGAATCGTAACCCCAAGTGCCAGGGCTGCTGCTGGCGCAACCATACCTACCCCAATGCACGATTGCTCGCCACTGACGTCGGCCTCCGGGACCAAGGCGGTGATTACGTTGCACGACTTCGACCGCCTAGCGCCACAAGGTAATTAAGTACGGTGGACACGGGAGAGTGCAACGACAGATTCGATATCCCGAGAGGTTTCGTGGTGGCGCTCTCCACGGAGTGGTTTGATCACAAATAGCGCTGCCACAAGTATATTCAGATCTACACCATACCAACGATAGCATCGTGGCCACCCGAGCCATCGACGAGTGCGACTCTCGGAACGACTGCAATGCAGGGACTGGCTACCTGCTGCCATGCGTGGCCCCAATGCCATTGCCGTGTCCCCGGACGTTTGGGACGCACTCGGCCTCGGCACCACCTGCACCAAGGACCGCAAGTAGATCGTCACTTGGTTAATTGGACGAACGCTGACAATCATATGTTTACAAAGCGAACACCAGTGAATAACCAGTACGGTTATTTCGCATATAATCCTAGAAAAATTAAGCTGAATATTACATCCTCTTTTGATCTAAAATATAATCTAAGATCAGATATAACACATCCTATTATTCTGTAATATAATACTAAGGAATACGATGAGTTTGGCTGAAAAGGAGCACTCGTTTCCTTTGAGAGGACACTTGCCCGACTTCTTGGGCTCCTCCAGTCGGCCCATTTTCATGGTGGAATAAAATCACTTTTACTCCCTCAACGGACCACCAAATCTAAATCGTATCCCTCGACCATAATAATAGAAATCTTGACACCCGAACTGTCAAAACCAGTACAATTTGACTCCTTTGATGGTTTTGGAGGGTGGTTTCGCTGACGTGGCACACACGTGGCGGTGTTAACTTGGTCTCCGTCCCATGTATTATTGACGTGGCGCTTATTTGGTATTAAAATTAAAAAAAATATGCGGGGCCCATTGGTCATTCACACACAAAAAAAAATTGTGGGCAACTCTGACATATGGGTCCCACATGTCATCCTCTCTCTCATTACCCTTCTTCTTCCTCCTGTCTCCCTTATCTCTCTCTCTCTCTGTCTTTCTCCCCTTGAGATGAGCCGGCGGCAGGCGGGGGCTCGAGTGGAGGCGGTGGCGGGTGGGTGCCGGAGTGGTGGCGGTGGTGGTCAGTGGACCTCGTGCGACGGGTGTGGGAGCAGATCCTCCTTGCGGGTGCCTGAGTGGAGACGGCGGCGGGCGCGTCTCGGCCTCGAGGCGGCGGCGCGAAGCGAGGAGTGGTCTCCGGCGACGCCTTCCACCGACGACGAAGGCTGATGCCGTAGAGTCGCCTTGCCGTTCTGATCTCCTCATGCATGGCTGCGCGACGCCGTCAACGACGCCACCACCATCGTGGTCCACCGCGACAAGCCACTGTTGCCGCCGCTCTAGCACCCGCTTGCCGCACACGGGCGAAGAGGTCACCGGTGACGGTCAGCGGCTCAGTGGCGGCGGCCATGGGGAGTGAGGGGCAGATCCGGCCTCCAGGTACACAATTCCAGCGGCCGCCTGCCCACCCTCCCGCCCGCCGCTGCCGCTCCGTCCATCGCCCACTGCCGCCGCTCCGGTCCCCGCCCGCCGTCGCTGCCGCCGATCCGGACGCCATTCCCCACGGACGAAGAGAAAGAGGGAGAGTTAGAGAAGGGAGGAGAGGGAGGAGGAAGAAGGGATAAAGAGAGGATGACATGTGGGGCCCACAATTGTGTGTGTGTGAATTTTAAAGCCATATAAGCGTCACGTTAATGCCACGTAGGACGAAGACCAAGTCAACATTGTCAGGTGTGCACCATGTCAGCAAAACCGCACTTTAAAACCACTAAGGGAGTCAAATTGTACCGGTTTTGACAGTTCGGGGGTCAAGATTTCTGGTATTGTGGTTAAGGGATATGATTTAGATTGGGTGGTCAGTCGAGGGAGTCAAAGTGATCTTATTCCTTTCATGGTCGTTTTGTTTGTGTTTGAGCCGAATCTGCCGCTTCATGTGGCCTGATGTGGGTTCATGAGTGTCTACTGTCCACTCCAGAACTGGTGTGGAGTAAAAGAGGATGGGAATATTACTGCGCAAGCCAGCTTTCGTCACCCGATTATGTCTCGTAAGCTTTCAATTTAGTCATAACCACTTCCCCAATTCACTAATTTCGCTGCGCATGCACTCGAGTTGCACTTACAGGCATCGGCACTCTTTCGCCACTCAACGCTGAACGCCAACGAGAGGGAAGAACATGAAAGCAAGCACCAAAAATGTGAAATCGTGGTGTTAGAAATAATAGTACAGAATCTGGCTTCCCATTCACCAATACTTTTAAATAATTTTAGTTAGTAAACTTCTATAGTGAAAACTTATTAAATTAATTCAAAAACTTTTAAATAATTTTAGTTAGTAAAATTATATAGTGAAAACTTATTAAATTAATTCATAAATTTTTAAATAATTTTAATTAGTAAAATTATATAGTGAAAACTTATTAAATTAGAAACTTAGTGTTAACTAATTATATACTGTTATTAAAAATGCAATAGTGAAATTTAGAAACTTAGTAAAATAGATTAAAAAATACCCATTTGCTCAGGCGCCCAGTGATTTCTTTGCCCCTTAGTACTTCGCCAATGGGGTACTGCGAAGGCACTGTAATCTTGTGGGCTTGGAAATAGTGCTTTAACTTTCTTGAAGCCATCACCAAGGCGTAAGCCAGCTTTTCCATTTCCAAGTATACTGGTCTTCGCCCCTTGCAGTGCTTCGGACACGGAGCATACTGGTTTCTGTCCTACTTCGGTTTCTTGTACTAAAGCCGCGCTGACGGCGACGGCGAAACTACTAGATATAGCAGCAATTCGCTATCTGCCGCCGGGCTGACCAACGCTGGCAGGCTTTGTAGGTATTGCTTGAGCTCATCGAAGGATTTTTGACACTCAGGTGTCCAACTGAACTTGCGAGCCCCCCTGAAGGGTTTTGAAAAATGGCAGATCTCTTTCGGCCACTTTGACAAAAATCTGCTGAGTGCCGCAATTCGCCCCATGAGCTTTTGTACTTCGCGTATGCTCATTGGTGGCTTCATTTGCTTAATGGCATCAATTTTTTCCGGGTTTGCCTCAATGCCTCTTTCGGACACCAAAAATCCCAGCAACTTACCATTGCACGAACGCCGAAAACACACTTCTTTAGGTTCAACATCATTCCCGCAGACCGAAAATTGTCGAATGTCTCATGCAAATCAGACGCATGGTCGAAAGCCTTGCGGCATTGTACGACAATGTCATCAACGTATGCTTCGACGTTTCGCCCCAATTATGAGCAGAGAACTTTGCACACGAGCCTAGTGGAGGTAGCTCCGGCATTACTCAACCCGAATGGCATCCTGATGTGACAGAAGGTGCCGAAGGGCGTGATGAAGGCTGTCTTCGGCACATCCCCTAGGTACATGAAGATCTGATGATATCCGGAGTATGCATGTAGGAAATTCATGAGCTCGCAGCCTGCTGTCGAATCAACTAACTGGTCTATCGTTGGGAGAGGGAAGTCGTCCTTTAGGCAAGCCTTGTTCATATCTGTGAAGTCTACACACATTCATCACTTGTCGTTAGACTTCTTGACCAGCACCGGGTTCGCCAGCCATTTCGGGTGGTCAATTTACCGAATTACGCCAGCCTTGAGCAGCTTCTGGACTTCTGCCTTCGTTGCCTCTTGGCGATCTATTGATATTTTGCGTAGCTTCTGCTTCTTCCGCTTGACGTCTGGTTTTACTGCTAGATGGTGCATGATGAGGTCGGGCGAAATGCCCCTAACCTCATCTGGCTAGGTGAAGATGTCAATGTTTTTCTTGAGCACAGTCAAGATGTTACTTGCTTCTTCTTCGCTGAGATTGCCGCCTAGGGAAACCACCTTTGTTGGTTTGGCCTCGTCCACTTGGACCTTGACCACTTTGTCGTGTGGGGACGGCTTCGGCACGATTATTTCTTGCTCACCATCTTCGGCATGCACATTTTGTACATCTCTGCATATCACCGCTGTTTCGTCCCTTGGTGCGGTCAAAGACTGTAGCCCCTTGACTACGATCACTCCGATTGGGCCTGGCATTTTAAGCTTGAGGTAGTTTTGAGGAGTGTTGGTAATTCTTACGGTCACAGATAGAAATCTGCAAGTGCACGGATATACCGATGTAGCGTATTAGAAAAGAGGAATCAAGCAAATTAGGACAGAAAGACTAACCATTTCCAGTAAGATTTGACT